ACTGGAGACAGCGGCTAGAGTTTGTGTTGTAGTCAGTGTGGTCACTTTCATTGCCTTTTCAACCTATGGATGCGAAAGAGTTGCTAGTCAGTGGATAAATGAGTAACAAGAAAAACATCCTTACTTGTGCGTGCCTTAACATCAACGGCCCCAGAGATATGGGAAAGCAAGGGAGACTCATCCGTCCAGATCGATTGTATTAGGTTGCTTTGCAACCCAAAAAGGAAAGAAATAGAAGAAGTCGAGGCAACCCACGACCGCAAGAAATGATGACATCGTCGTCCACAAGGCTGGAGGTTCGGATGAAGAGTACACTGACGCCGTCGAACCCATCCCCAAGTTCCCCGCAGCGCCTAAACCGAAGGACCCCACCCTCGCTATTTTAGATTCTCGGTCTCAATCCCCACACAATCGCGGTTACACAAAGTCGCAGAGAAGCTAGAGCATATGTGAAAAGGTGAATTGGGTGCTTCGCTACAAGGAGCTCGTCTCCTTGAAGAATACTTCACGGAAATCATCTGTCTCCATTGCGTGCATTTGACGCTGAATGGGCCAGGAAGATTTGGGCGTGTTTCGGGGTGCCGCTAACTGCCGCAAGCGTCTACACGTTGATGGCCGCCATGCATACCACCCCAACATGGAGACAGCTCTTAACCGGCACGTCTGCCTGGAGCGATCAAAGTGGGTGGCTATATCGGTGAAGGACAAGCAACGTTGGAGCCGCAAGGGGACGAAGAAGCACCACCCCGACAAGAACTTGAACGTATCGTCCCACTGGAGTCAACGATTTCGGGACCGGTGGAACCTGGTAATGCGCATGAAGACTAAGGTTGGGCAAAGGTTGTCTTAGGGTGAGTTCTAAAACACTGAATTTGCCGGGGATCGTGCTCTATAATCACCTCTCTCTTCTTAGTCGGTAAGTGCCTTCTCAGGTTCTAAACCCTCGTCTTCTCTTGTGTTTTTTCACATGGCAGAGTGTGCAAATGCTTGTAAGGCCTGTTGGCAGTTCGTGCGGATCAACCGTGCTCGACACACCATCGACCTCTCATGCATCATCAACGCGGACCAATCCCCGCTCTTCATCGAGATGCCCCGAGAGGACAATCGACCACCGTGGCGCATGATCTGTCCCAATCCACTCAGCAAGCTACGAGATGACGAGGCTCATTGTCATGCTTGCCTGCATAGCATCAGGGGAGAAGCTGCACCCGTAGGGGTGGTCGAAGATGAAGAATGTGTCGAAGTGTGATGTTCCTAAAGGTAAAAGGCATGTGGGTTTAGAAACTGCAAAATGGGGGTGCAGACTCTGGGAGTGCTAAAAGTCCTCTTGTTGGTGGACTTGGAGGTACTGGTACCGGAGGTGCTGGGTCTGGGGGTGAGGTGCAGTCGCTGCCGCGGCGGCCTATCTTCTTGGAGCACCCGTCATTGTCACTATCTGAGCCGACGCCCACTGGTACTACTCCTCTTTTGTTTCCGCCGCCTGACCTGTCTCGGCCACTGTTGCCGCCTGACTCCCCTATGCCTGCTCCTGCTCGATACTCCCCGTTGCTCGTCTCCCTGACAGAGCATCGGGTTCGTGTGTCTTGTGCCGCCCTTCCTGCTACCTCTCATGTAACCCAGCATTGGAGCAGCACGTGACAACTTCTGAAAGTTACTTTTCAGTTGTCATGGTGAACTGTTGGCAGCATTTCCCTTGCCACCCTTTCATTGTTGTCATGCCAATGGTGCAACAAAAGAGAACGAGACAAGAAGTATAGGTGGTCAAGTGGAACTTGACCACCCTCTTTTTGAGAAGTGTGGTCTTCTTGAAAGCAGCTTGCAAGAGGGTGCAAGTGGAAAGACAAGCTGATCCATGGTTGGCTTGACTTACTATTGGTAGCCTTGAGTACAGCACTGAACATCCAAGTGTTGTTGGCTTTTCTAACCTAGCTAGGACGTTTCCCATCCTTCTCTAGCTTTTCTCCCCTATGACTCAGCCTTCTCTGAGTTTCCAGGATGATTCCTGCCCCCCCTAGGCGATGTTGTAGTCACCTGTTCCTTGCATCAATCAGACTGAATGTTTTCAGACGTGGTTACGTTTTTTATCACTATGTAGCGCTCACATCTCTGATTGAGACAAGCAAGATACTGTTCGTAATTGGACACCTGTGGCTATTAGCTGTCTAAAGCTCAGAACTTAACTTGCTTGGAGCTGATGACGACGGCGGTTTGAACAGTGGCGGTTCCAAGTCGTCAGAATCTGGTTAGGCGGTTTCATGGGCATCCGCGACCCCTAAGTGGACTCTAGACTATATCAAGTGGTATCAGAGGGGTTTTTATTCTGTTCTTGGGTCGATATAGAGGCCAAAGGTTCTGATCCAGCTGGTCCAAGTGGCAGTGGTGGTGTGAGAGGCGCTGGGGAAGCAGGAAGAGGAGTTGCAGGCGGATCTACACCAATAGCGTCTGTTTCAACACCAGCTAAGGATGATGTGAAGGCATTCAACCTAGAGAAGTTCTATGGGGAGGATTGGGCATCATGGAGCTTCGGGAGGAGCTCCTCTCAAACCATTTATGGGCTGGAGAATTGATAAGGCATGCGAGCGAAGGAGCGACCAAGGAATGGGATCGTCGATCCAAGGATGGATTTTTCCTTCTCTCCCAATGCCTCTCATCCAACCAGCTGCACCACATTAAGCATCTCATCAAAGATATCCAGTGTGGTCCCAAGGTATGGAAGATATTGAAGGATAACCATGCCCCCAGCAGCGAAGCGATGGCGGTGGTGCTTGAGCGACAACTCGATGCGGTGAAGATTAACGAGGGTGATGACGTACAAGGAGCGTTCGATCAACTCCGGGACCTCTATGTGAAGCTTTCTACTATTGGTGTGGACTACCTAGAGAAGATCAAGTGCTACATGGCTCTCTTGTCAAACATTATATATCACTGTAGGCTATATTGGGATACTCATTAGGGGGTACAACCCATTAGGGTTCCACAATTGTATCACCCTTACTTGCTAGTCTCATCATTCTTGTTCCTTAGCCTTCGACATGGTATCAGAGCAGGTCGATCCTTAGGATTGACGCTTTTTTTCAAGGGCTTACCGATTGGTTCCGCTCTTGCCCGCTAGCGCGCGCCGTGCTGCCCTACGTGCCAGCGCGCCCCGCTGCCCAGCGCGCCAGCGTGCCCCGCTGCCCAGCGCGCCAGCACGTCCCGTTGCCCAGTACGCCAGCGCGCCCCGCTGCCCAGCGCGCCAGCGTTCCCCACTGCCCAGCGCCCGCGCACGCCTTGCTGCCCAACGCCGGTGCACGCCTTGCTGCTGTGCGCACACTGCTGCCCCGTACCTGCGTGTGCCCCGCTGCCCCTTGCCCGCGCGCGCCTCGCTGCCCAGTGCCAATACGTGCCCCGCTGCCCAGCGGTCGTGCGCGCCCTACTGCCCCGTAATTGCGCGTGCCCTGCTGCCCAGCGCCCGTGCGCGCCCCACTGCCTAGCGCTCGCGCGTGCCCCGGTCCCTAGCACCCATGCATGCCCTGCTGCCCTGCGTGCCCCGTGCGCGCCCTGCTGCCTGCGTGCCCCGCATGCCTTGCTGCCCGTTCCTTGCATGCATTCCAACTGCTGCTAAGCTGCTCCAGTCGCTTGCCTCGAGCGTGCCTTGCCCTGCCCAGCGCTATTGCGCTGCCCTGCCCACAGTGCCTTGCGCTGCCGCCTAAGCTGCTGCTGCTGCCTGTACTACTGCTGCTGCGCTGCGGCGCTGCTGCCGCCTGAGCTGCTGCCCTACCTCGTTGTCGCTCAGCGCTGCTACCGCTGCTTGCGCTACTGCACCCCTACCCCGTTCAGCCTGCGCAGTGCACCACGCGCCCTACCCTGCCTGCACCATGCGCTAGCGCCCTGCCCTGCTCGCGCTAGTGCCCTGCCCTGCCCACGCCAGCGCCCTGCCCTGCCCACGCCAGCGCCCTGCCCGCGCCAGCACCCTTTTCCGCGCCAGCGCCCTGCACTGCCCGCCCCAGCGCTGCCCTGTCCTGCCTAGCTGCCGCCAGCACTGCCCTGCACGCTGCCCAGCGCTGCCCTACCCTGCCTGGCCACCGCTAGCGCTGCCCTGCACGCTACCCAGCGCTGCCCTGCCATGCTTGGCCGCCGCCAACACTGCCCTACACGCTACCCAGCGCTTCCCTGCCCTGCCTGGCCGCCACCAGCGCTGCCCTGCACGCTGCCCAGCGCTGCCCCGCCAAGCTGCAGCTGCTGCCTACCGGTCGCCGCCTCTGCTAAGCTGTTGGCTGCCCTGCGCCCACTGCCTTGCCCTGCCCTACGTGCTGTTGCTGAGCTGCTAGGCTGCTACTGCTGCTGTTGCCAAGCCGCTGCTGCTAAGCTGCTGCTGCTCCTGTTGTTGCCAAGCTGCTGCTGCTATGCTGAGGCTACTGCTATTAAGCTGCTCCTCCCACATGCGCTGCTGCTCCCACCTAAGTTGCTGCTGCCGCCAGCGATACTGCTGCCGCCAGTGCTGCTGTTGCCGCCTATGCTCATGCTGCTGCTGTTCAATTGCTGCTGCTGCTGCTGCTCTGCTGCTGCTGCTAAGCTGCCGGCTGCACTGCGCCTGCCTTGCCCTGCCCTGCCCTGCCCTACGTACTGCTGCTCAGCTGCTAAGCTGCTGCTGCTGTTGCTGCTGGGCTGCAGCTGCCTGTGCTACTGCTGGCCCAGCTGAGCCGCCCTGCCGAGCCGCCTTTGCTACTCCCTTACTACCATTACTGCCGCTATGGCGACTCCCATTGTACTCGCCTTTGACGCCGACGGCCACCCGATATAGTTTGAGTCCTAGGTAGAGGGTCTGCACCAGTCACCACCCTCCCCACACCTAAAATTGACAGACACGAAAGGCGACACCTCAATGCTCTGTGTTTGGGGGTGCATGGTGCAATATCGCCCGCTGACATCAACCATCGGCAAGTTCGCAAGCCGCGCGCACTGGAGAATTCACCTCAACATCAGCCGCGAATACTGTCAAACTATTTTTTCTATAGTTTATGAGGGTTAGTCTAGGGATGTTACACTTTGCCCTAGGTTTAGTTAGGGTTTCCTTGTACTGCTTCTTTTTTTACCATTCATCCAATAGTTACCTTTGTGACATGGTATAGAGCTAGATCGATCTGTTGGGCCCACCGCCCCATAACCCGAAGCGCCTTGTACCCCGAAGCGCCCCGTAGCCCGAAGCGCCCCGTAGCCCGAAGCGCCTCTACCCGTAGCGCCCGTGTAGCTCGCGCCCCCGTCCCCTCCCCGTCGCGGCCCTATCCCCTTCCCGTCGCCCCCCCGTCCCCTTTCTGTTGCCTCCCCGTCCCCTTTCCGTCGCCTCCCCGTTGCCTCCCCGTCGCCTTCCCGTCGTCTCCGCGTCGCTCCCGTCGCCTCCCCGTCCCTCCCTTCCCGTTGCCTCTTGTCGCTTCCCCATTCCCCCCTTCCCGTCGCCTCCACGTCGGCCCCCAGTCGCCTCCCCGTCCCCCCCCTTCCCGTCGCCTTGTATTGCCTCCCATCGCCTCCTCGTCCCCCCCTTTCCATCGCCTCCGTGTCGCCTCCCGTTGCCTCCCCGTCCCCCCCTTTCCATCGCCTCTACGTCGCCTCTCGTCGCTTCCCCGTCCCCCCCTTCCCGTCGCCTCCACGTCGCCCCCCCCGTCGTCTCCCTGTTCCCCCCCTTCTCGTCGCCTCCGCGTCGCCTCTGGTTGCCTCCCCCGCCCCCCCCCTTTCCGTCGCCCCTTCGTCGCCTCTCGTCGCCACCCGTCCCCCCCCCATCCCATCGCCTCCCCGTCCCCCTTTCAACCGCCTCCTGTCGCCCCCACGTCCCACCCCCTTCCCCGTCGACTCCCATTCACCTCCCGCTGCCCTCCACCCCATACTGACTGCGGTCCGCCCGTAGCCCGCCGCCAGTACCAGCATAGGCCGCCGCCAGCAAGCGCCAGTAGCCTACGCCAGCGCCAGCGCACCAGCTGCAGCATAGACTGCCGCCAGCAGCATCAGCAGCAGTTTAGGCTGCCCCCAGTTGAACCAGCAACAGCCTAGACTACCGCCAGGAGCACCAGCAGCAGCATAGGCTGCCCCGAGTTGAACCAGCAGCAGCATAGGCTGCCGCCAGAGCACCAGCAGTAGCATAGGCTACCCCTAGTTGAACCAGCAGCAGCATAGGCTGTCGCCAGAGCACTAGCAGCAGCATAGGTTGCCCCCAGTTGAACCAGCAGTAGCCTAGACTGCCGCCAGGCGCACCAGCAGCAGCATAGGCTGCCCCAAGTTGAACCAGCAGCAGCATAGGCTACCCCCAGCAAGACGAGCAGCAGCTTAGGCTGCCACCAGCAGAACCAGCAGCAGCGTAGGCTGCCCTCAGCAGAACCAACAGCAGCACATGCTGCCCCCAGCGCACCTACAGCAACTTAAGCTACCACCAGCGCACCCCCCCGTTTCTAGCTCCTCTGATGGCGTGTACTAGAGTTCTACACCAGCAGGGCCAGCCGCACCACTCCCGGCAGTGGGGACATGCGGGTCCAAAGTGTGGCGCCCCCAGCAGTGGCTCATCTAGCAGTAGGCAAGACGTCGCCCCCTTCGGGTACTGGGCATTGTGAGGCCCTGGTGCTGGCACTAGTTTCTCGAGTCCTGACCACTCTGCGTCTAGCTGCTACCTTCGACTCGACGACCTTTACCGTGAGCGTTTTAGTCCTCGCGCTATTACACCGCACTAGCCCTCGCTTCTTCGTCCGCGCACTGCTGCACCAGTTGAGTCTCACCTACCTTGCCTAGGACCTTCTTTGGCTGCACGAGTAGAGACATGTGTTTCCAGTCTTGGTGCGTGTGTTGTTTCCAGTCCAGGCGCCTCTAAGGGTCTTTATGTAGGAGCTGCAGCTACCACTAGTCTAGCACCAGCCTTTGTCGCTGGCTCGGGTGCGACCTCACAGACTGCACAGCTTTTCCTTCACCTTAGACTCTGGAGCGACCAGCTGTTTCTTTTGAGACTGTACTGACCTCACACCACTGCGCTCTCCAGTCACTGTCGCCTTGGCTGACCCCTTTGTGGTACCTGTAGTTGCCCGCAGCACCACCACTCTCCCATGTCCGGCGGCTCCCTCTGGGTTTCTCACAGGTTACTACACCCCCTCGTTCTCTAGGAACCTGATGGGTATTAGTCACTTTCACGACCTTGGTGTAGTCACTACTTTCTCACTAGACAAGCCTGTTGCCACCTGCACAGTCGGTGCCACTTGGGCGCCTCTGGCCAGTTTCCACAGAGAGCCAAGCTCTGGTCCGTACTCACTACACACTGGGTCCCACCACACTGAGTCAGGTCAGGTCAGGTAGCTGCTGTGTCGTGTGACTATCGGTCACTCCCCCACCCGTCGGTCCTCTGCCACCACCGTCTAGGTCACCCGTCGTTCCCACGTCTCAGTAGGATGGTACCTCACCGTCTGGCCTCAGGTCTCCCAGCGTCGCTTGCCCTGCTTCCTCGCTCACCTGCGCTGCCGTGCACTCCTTGCGTCGAGGGTTGGCAACACGCTGCCCCTCACTCCTCCTCGTTCCCCCCCACCACGGCTCCTTTCCAAACCTTGCACTTGGACGTCTGGGGCCCCTCCCCGGTCCTTAGCCCACGTCAGGAGCGCTACTTCCTGATTGTGGTGGACAACAACTCCCGCTACACCACGGTTTTCTCCCTGCGACGGAAGGACGACGTGCCTACCTTCCTCGAGCCATGGCTACTAGCGTGGGGTGGCGTCTAGGGCCTGTGTGGGCTTTGCCTACACTCGGACCGTGGTGGTGAGTTTTCTTCCACTCGCCTGGAGAGGTTTTGTGAGGGTCGGGGGATCATCCAGTCTTACACGCTACCATACTCGCCGCAGCAGGAGGTAGCCGAGTGACGCATCAGCCTGGTCATGGAGGTTGCCCGGACCTCCATCTGCCATGCTGATGCCCCCCAGTTCTTGTGGCCTCAAGCAGTCGGCTACGCCACGCACCAGCTGAACCTTTGGCCCAGTGACGCACGGCCACAGGTGACGCCGGTCTCCCTTTGGATAGGTTCTCCGGGCGTAGCAGCTGACTTCCGCGTCTGGGGTTCTCTAGCTCAGGTTCACACGTCACTCCGCAGTCGTCCCCCCCTGCAGCGTCCAGTCCCTATCGTGTCTGGGGGTGCGGGAGGTGCAGTTACAGAGGGTGAGGGTACAGGGGCTGCATGAGCTAATGGTGTCGGCTCTGTGAGTGCAGGGGGTATGGGCGTGGAGGTCACTCCCGTGGAGGACATGGCAGCCTCGATTCAGCGGCCTCGCCCCGCGTCACCCCCTGGCTTCCCGTCCGTCCCGCAGTTCCATCCTCGTTCTTTGTTGCGACCAGTTGCTGCGGAGCCTGGGGGTGTTCCTGCGAGAGGTACTGGAGGCCCCAAGGGTGTCCGTGGTGGAGGTGCTGGTTCTGGGGGTGCTGGAGCTGGAGGCACAGGCACTGTGGCGCCTACACCGCGCACTGTATGTTTCCTGATCCGTGAGTAGCGTCTCCTCCAGTTGGAGAGGGAGGAGCATGAGCGGTTTGAGAGGGCACAGAAGCAGCAGCAGCAGCAGTCTCAATCGTAGCAGTAGGAGAGAGTAGAGGAGGAGTCACAGCAGTAGCAAGAGACAGCAGAGGAGGGGTCACGATTGCAGCAGCAGGAGCAGATGCAGCCACAAAAGGTCCAGCACCTGCGCGCTTGGTTTGTGGTCCCCTAACATCCCCTCCTGTTCCCCCCGTTCATTCCTTTTCCTTGTCCCAGTGGACTCGTCGTTCTCCCCTTAGCCGTGCTGTGTCTTTGGAGCCCCGTCTGTCTTTTTACTGTGCTGACGGCCCGTTTCACCTTGTACTCCACTCTCGTGTTCCACCTCCTCTAGTCCTTCCACAGTCTCATGAGTCGTCCCTCACTGTGCTTCACGACCCATTGTCCGACTACCTCCGTGGCTCCCGTCCTGTCGTCTCCCGTGTTCTGTCCGCGTTGGTCACTCACCCGACTGCCCCTATGTCGTATGTCTCAGCCCTTGTAACCACTGTCGCTGGCTTTGCCTCGTCCCACCGTCTTGACTACGCCTCCCACCTTGTGAGCGGCACTACTCGTACTCCGTCCACTGGGGGTGTTCTTGTTTTGCCCCTGGAGGTCCTGGAGGACAGGTAGTTCGAGCTTGGTTTCCTTCCATTCGCTGTCCCTCATCTCTGCGCCATGTTGCTTGCCCCTGAGGGGGATCTAGACGCCCTTGACATCTTGATTCCGCGCACTCACGCAAAGGCGGTCTCGGGACCCTGGGCTTCGTACTAGATAGCACCTGAGGAGGCAGAGATGGCATCTTATAGGTCCACCAGCACCTACGTCGACGCCGTCCCACCACCTGGGACGATCGTCGTCACTGGCATGTCGCTCTACAAGGTGAAGCGGCCGCCTGGATCACCACCAGTGTTCAAGGCGCGCTATGTGGCAAGAGGCTTCAGTCAGCGCGAGTGGGTAGATTTCTTTCAAACCTTTGCTTCCATCCCGAAGATGACCACTCTTTGGGTGTTGCTGCACTTTGCAGCTCAGCGCGACTACGAGTTACACTTCTTAGACTTCTCCACAGCGTTCCTACAGGGGAGCTTGCACGAGCAGATCTGGCTACGTCAACCGCCTGGCTTCACTGCTCTTTTCCTCCCGGGACCCAGTGGCAGTTGTGTCGACCAGTACACGGCCTGCGCCAGGCTCCCCGCGAGTGGCACGACACGCTACGTTCGACTCTTCCAGCGCTTGACTTTTTCCCGACGTCTGCCGACCCGTCGTTGTTCGTCCGCCGCGGCTCGACCCCCTTCTTTGTTTTGGTTTACGTTGACGACCTGGTCTTCGCCACTCCGGACCGACGCGCACTGGCCTCCGTGAAGGAGGAATTGTAGAGGAGACACACTTGCACTGACCTTGGTGAGTTGCAGCGCTACCTTGGCCTGCAAATCACTAGGGACAGGGCAACTCGCACCATTACACTGACGCAGTCGCATATGGTTGAGCAGACCCTCACGCGGTTCCGCTTCCCGTTCTCCAAGGTACAGCTCACCCGTCTTGTTGTGGATCATGGGCTCACGGCTCCACCTTTGGAAGAGCCATTTGAGTCTAGCGGTCGATATCTTGAGCTGGTGGGTTGTCTCATGTACCTGATGACCCGTACTTGCCCAGACCTAGCTTACCCTATTAGCGTCCTTGCGCACTTTGTTGAGCCTGGGTGACACCGACCTTCCCACTGGTACACTGCTAAGAGGGTGGCAAAATATGTGTCGGGTACATCAGGCATGGGACTTGTCCTTGGAGGGAAGCAGCCAGTTACACTTACAGGTTTCTCGGACTCGTCGTGGGTTGACAACGCTGAGTCATTGCGGTCTACACAGGGTTACTAATTTAGCCTTGGGACCGGAGCTGTTTCATGGAGGTCGACTTGGGCGTCGTCCGTCTCCCGTTTCAGCTGTGAGGCAGAGCTGTATGTTGCGGCCATGGCCGCCCAGGAGCTTCGCTAGCAATCTTTCCTCCTCACCGACCTTGGTGAGCGGCCTCACTCTCCCCCAGTCTTGTTCGCCGTAAACAGGTCTGCTATCCTGTTGTGCGAGGAGCCCCGACTGGTTGGGAAGGCGAAGCACATCCAGCTTCGTTACTTCCTTTTGTAAGAGTTGCAGCAGCGTGACCAGGCACTCGTGTGACGTGTGGTCTCTGAGGCCAACACTGCAGATATCTTCACCAAGGCGTTGCCGCCTTGTGACCACCAACGTTTCTGCAACCAGCTAGGTCTTGTATCTACAGGCCCTCACTTGCTTGCGTAGAGATGCTTTGTCTTGTACTCTTGCATCTCGCTATATATTTTGTATTTGTGCTTGTGGACAGGCCTTGTCGCCTCTTGCTTCTGTAGAGATGCT